TGCTAATAACCTTGGGAAAGGTATGAATCCTCTTCTAGATTTTCCCGGAGGAGTCATGGATGGCGGCTCGGATTGAAGAGTCGAGAGCATCGAGTTCGAATTCCAGTCGAATCCATTACATGCACTTACGTGCTAATACCATTGGGAAAGGTATGAATCCTCTTCTAGATTTTCCCTGGAGGAGTCATGGATAGCGGCTTGGATTGAGGAATCGGAGAAAGTCGAGTTCGAATTCCAGTCGAATCCATTACATTCACTTACGTGCTAATAACCTTGGGAAAGGTATGAATCCTCTTCTAGATTTTCCCGCAGGAGTAATGGATAGCGGCTTGGATTGAGGAATCGGAGAGCCGAGTTCGAATTCCAGTCGAATCCATTACATTCACTTTCGTGCTAATAACCTTGGGAAAGGTATGAATCCTCTTCTAGATTTTCCCGGAGGAGTCATGGATAGCGGCTCGGATTGAAGAGTCGGAGAGCCGAGTTCGAATTCCAGTCGAATCCATTACATGCACTTACGTGCTAATACCATTGGGAAAGGTATGAATCCTCTTCTAGATTTTCCCGGAGGAGTCATGGATAGCGGCTTGGATTGAGGAATCGGAGAGCCGAGTTCGAATTCCAGTCGAATCCATTACATTCACTTACGTGCTAATACCCTGAGGAAACGTATGAATCCTCTTCTAGATTTTCCCGGAGGAGTAATGCATAGCGGCTCGGATTGAGGAATCGGAGAGCCGAGTTCGAATTCCAGTCGAATCCATTGCATTCACTTACGTGCTAATACCCTTGGGAAAGGTATGGATCCTCTTCTAGATTATCCCGGAGGAGTAATGGATAGCGGCTCGGATTGAGGAATCGGAGAGTTAGTTCAAATTCAAGTCCAATCCATTGCATTCACTTACATGGCTTTGAAAAGGGATTAATCATCTTCTTCTCACCTCAGCTATGAGTAAAATAGCAGAACAGACTGCGTTCTATAGCCTTGTATGGCAACTGGTCTAAGGGAAAGATAACTCTGAATTCAAAACCTGCGGACGTTCGTTCGGGGCCCTTTTGGTAAGTAGTGCACAAGGTCTCTGTATTCCTCTCTTCAAAATGTATAGTTGGCTCTGCATAAAACCTTCACCACTATAATCAAATCATATCGGCTGGTGACAATCGTTTCCTGAGAACTGAGCTCCTTCACGATATATACATATATATATATATATATTTTATTTTACTTACTTATTTATTTTATTTTATTTATGGATTTTTATATCTTATTTTTCATTTTTAGTTTTTGATTTATGTAAATACTAAACACATTAACTTACCAAGAATGCACTTATAAACGCAAGTATAACTAATAAAAACAACCAACAATGAAACATTTAAAAATAAATAATAATTTCTTTTTTACAAGCAACATATCTGCATCCGGTTCCACAATCTGAAACTGATACAAACATATATATACGAGAGTGTTACAGCAAGAATGTTCCGTCAGACTGTCAGAGCTGACTGCTGTAAACTTCCCTTTAAAAAGTCAGTACCTACTCCTATTTATAGCTGTCAGAGTGCATACGTGCGTGGGTAAATTACCATAAAAAGGCTTAAGTTTGTATCTAATTTGAATTGTGTAACGAATTTTTCATTTATGCCAGACAACAGTGGTCCTCCGCTCCCACCACACGGACTGTTTTTTTTTTTTTAAAGTTTGCTATGTATCAATTCTTTCAACTATAAATATTAAACTCCCCGATTCGAGTCGAACAAAGCAAACGTATTGACGTTGAATGAAATAGTCTATGCTCATAAAGTTATTTTGGATTTCCCTTTTATACAATTTATATGTTCTGTTATAATAAATACATTAAGGTCTTTTGGTGGATTATTTTTAGATATTTTATATTATTAGGATCCAACTTGATCTTACACCAACGTATTTATTGTCTGTACTATATATATATATATATATATATATATATATATATATATATATATATGTATTTTTTCGGTTTGTATTTTATTTGACAAAGATAAAATATTTATTGCGAATTTCTGACAAACTTACTAACGATGACATTGTCATTGTTACAAAAAACGATTTATAGACCTTTTTCTGTTTATTGATATATATATATATATATATATATATATATATATATATATATATATATATATATATAGAGAGAGAGAGAGAGAGAGATAGGTAGATAGATAGATAGATAGATAGATAGATAGATAGATAAATAGATAGATAGATAGAAAGAAATATTCAGTTTGTTTTTTTTTTGAAAATATATAATATTTCGAATTTCTGACAAACTTCCTAACAATGTCATTTTTGTAAAGAACGATTCATACTCCGTTTTTCTGTTTATATATATATATATATATATATATATATATATATATATATATATATATATGGGGCGTAATCGTTTCACACCATAGAAATCAGTAAAATAATTAAGAGGTCACTTAGTGTGAAAGAATGAAACAATGTCAAACATTTTGGATTAAGAACAGTAGAAGGGTAATCAGGAGGACTGTAGATAACGATTGACATTGCATTTACATTTTTGGAAGGTCAAAGCTGGTTGGGAAGCATAGAGCTGGAAGATAGATGCGGAATCTAAAAGTGTAAAAAGAGAAACTGCTATCATACAATTTACTGTTATATCTCGCCAATTCAGCGGTAAAATAACGACAGCTCAGCGCCACTCAAGTGCTGCGTTTAACTTCATAAATTTTAGTTCACATAGCTAAGAGTTCATCTGAAAAATTGTCAGGAAAATATTTATAAAAAAAAGGCAGAGAGAAGCTGTGTTACAACCGTGTGAAAGTGACTGAATCCAAGACGCCAGATCAATAGCAATAATATTGGCGATTCTTTGGATTTTATCAAGAATCTCTAACTACATAGCAGAAGCAGTGGAACATATTTGGCAGCAATATTCAAAGCATCGACGAATGGTAGATTTATAGATAAGTAAGATACATTCTGGAGAGAAAATAATATTTTTTTTCCAATAATAATCTTACATTTATTTTCTTTCCGTGTTATACTTCCGCGTGTGAAATTCACTTAACTTCCATCAACGAGTTTGCATAATTACATCAATGTGTTTGATTATTTTTATTCGTTTCTCTTTTGCTCGGTTGCGAAAGTTATTAAGAATTTTAAGAAATTTCTTCGTCGACTCTTCGGTAAAATGTCATCTATTTTCATAACATTCATATTTAAAGTTTCATTTATATATATATATATATATATATATATATATATATATATGTATTTGTGTGTGTGTGTGTTATGATGTGTATGTATAAATATATATATATATATATATATATATAAAACTCACACACATTTATATATACGTATATATATATATATATATATATATATATATAATGTATATATATATTTATATATATATATATATATATATATATATATATATAGATAGATAGATAGATATATATACACATTGTATATATATATATATATATATATATATATATATATATATATATATATATATATTTTAAACATGGGCAAATACAGGTCCGGTTATGAAGTAAACGTGTTTGTGTCATCAATTTTCTTCATTTGTTTTATTTATATATATATATATATATATATATATATATATATATATATATATATATATATATATATATATGAAAAGTTTATATAAATATAAATAAATATATATATTATAATTATTTATATAATATATGCGCGGTACTTATTAGAAAGCGCTCAATATCAGAGATAGAGCTAACATATTTGGTTTTATAGATGTGAGTTTGTGACCCTGAGTTTCACGCTTTAGCGATCGTCAGTTTTCTGATTACCGATTAAAGCACTTTCCAGACATTCTGAATTTTCAATCCTCAGTATTTACACGTCGTGGGGAAATATATTGAAAATACATTGAAGACCCTTCAGTACCATAGCTATTATATAGGGGTACCACATCTACCGAATCCGTAGTAGAAGTGGTGGCTCCTGTTCAAGATAACCTGACGGAGCTCAACTCTCCCCAGCCTGACGTAAATTCAGAGTTTACCTTTTCTTAGACCGATTTCCATCCAAGGCAATAGAAACGAATATGTCCTTCTATTTAACTACAGCTGGAGGGAGAATAGATGGATCCATACATGCCAGCGCTTAAGTGAATATAATGAACTCAACTGTAATTCGAACTCGGCTCTCCAGTTCATCAATCCGAGCTGCAATTCATTACCCCGTCGTTTATCTTCTCTTCTAAACATTTTAGTGCAATAGTGGTAGATTATCTGGGGACAACTTCCTGGTTATTGGGAAATTTTGGTTTTTGGTCGTTTGCCTAAAGGTTGACATGGCTGTGTCAATATACTGTCAGCGTTTTGAACGGCGAAAGACTTTATTAGGCCTTTGCCAATAGACAGGCATTCTTTTATTTCACTTAAGGCTATTAAAAGACTTTATATGATTTACTGGCTATTTTAAATATTGCCGTTTAGACGACAGTCATGGTAGAGATAGTTATACGCCGGAAATTGGATTTTTTGCTTGGAGAAACTTTCTCAAAACTTCCTTCATTCAAAATTTCTTTCTTTCTTTCTTTCTTTCAACGTAAAATTTCTTTCTTTCTACCGTTTTTCGTTTCTTTCATTGTCCTTTTCCTACAAATGTTTTTCATTCTTTCTTTCATTCTTTCATCTTCAAATTTTATTTCTTTCTCCAGACACTTTGAAAGTACTTACTTTTTATAACTACTATGTTTCTTTCTTTTTTTTATCCCTTAAAAAAGGTTCTTCGATTTCTCTCATCGGTTCAAAACTTTTTCTTTCATTCTTTTATTCTTTCTTGCTTTCCATATTTTTCTTTAGAATATCATAGTTTCTGATATACTGATATTCTTTCCTTTTCGCGACATTGTTTTTATTTTTTTTTATATTTGTCGTTCTTTCTTTCTTTCTTTTTCTTTCTTTCTTTCTTTAAAGCTTCCTAGTTTTTGATGCCCTTTCTTCCTACTATAATCGCTTTAATTCATTCTTCCTTTCTTTTCTTACTTTCTGATACTCTTTCTTTCTTCCCGCTAAAATCTCTTTTTTTTCTTTCTTTAAGTTTTTGTAGTTTCTTATTCCTTTTCTTTTTCCTTCCGCTACATTCTTTCCTTATTTCTTTTTTTTCTTTCTTTAAAATCCCATAGTTTTTGATAAACTTTATTTCTTTCCGATAAATTCTTTTTGTTTCCTTCGCTCTTCCTCGCTTTTTTCTATCCTTAGTATCGCCTTCTCTCTGACGCCCATTCTTTTTTTCCATCTCCATTCTCTTTCTTTCTTTCTTTTTTCTTTCTTTTTTCATTCTTTTTTTTTAAAGTTTCCTAGCTTCTGATACCCTTTCTTCCTGCTACAATCGCTTTCATTCTTTCTTTCTTTTTTCTTTCTTTCTTTCTGTACAATTTCCTAGTATATGATATTCTTTCTTTCTTCCCGCTAAAATCTCTTTTTTCTTTCTTTCTTTAATTTTTTGTAGTTTCTTATTCTTTTTATTTCTTTCCTCTACATTCTTTCTTTCTTTTCTTCTTTCTTTCTTTCTTTTTTCTTTCTTTCTTTCTTTCTTTCTTTACAATTTCCTAGGTTCTGATAATCTTTCTTTCTTCCCGCTAAAATCTCTTTTTTCTTTCTTTCTTTAAGTTTTTGTAGTTTCTAATTCTTTTTCTTTCTTTCCTCTACATTCTTCTTTCTTTCTTTTCTTCTTTCTTTCTTTTCTTCTTTCTTTCTTTCTTTACAATTTTCTAATTTCTGATACTCTTACTTTCTTCCCGCTAAAATCTCTTTTTCTTTCTTGCTTTAAGTTTTTGTAGTTTCTCTTTCTTCTTTCTTCCTTTCTTTCTTTCTTTACAATTT